TGTAATAGCTAAAACTTGGAAGCAGCCCAGTTGCCCCTCAACTGGAGACTGGATAAAGAAAATGTGGATTTTTTATAAAATGAAGTACTACTCAGCCCTAAAAAATGAGAAATTAGAGACATTTATAGCTAAATGGATGCACATTGAGGCCATACTCTCAAGTGGAATAAATACGACACATGTGTAAATACCGAATAGTTTCTCTAGTGTGAGAAACTGAAAGTGTAAATAAGGACTAAAAGGTTTAATAGATAATGTGAAATAGGAAGAAATGGGGCAAAGGGGAAGGGGAAGTGGAAGGGGTAGGGGAAAGGAAAGAATGGAATGGAATTAGTATGAGAAAATGTAAAAATGGAAACAAAGTCTTTGTAAATAGGGAGGGATGGAGGGGTTGAAGGGAGGGCAGGCGAGGGGGGAAAAATAAGAACCAAGAGAGATTTTGTAAAGGTGCAAATTTAATGTAACTATTGTATATCTAAAATGTACCAATAAAATTAATTTTTAAAAAAGTTGCTATCACTTAAAAATAAAATTCTGAAGTTCTTAGTCTAATATCTAAGAATCTCCATAATGTGTTCCCAATGACCATCAAAATTAGTGTTCTATTTCACATTTCCACATACTCTACACTCCAGACAGATGGGTTTGTCGCACTAACTTCAAGCATTCTTAGGCTGTTGCTGTCATTTACAGTGTATTTTATTCTGAACATCCAAACCCTCACATCCTTTAAGGTCTAGGTCAGGTGCCACCTTCTTGGTTCAGCTCTTCCCAGCTTTCCTATCCTCTTTACCCATCTTAAACAGAATTGTTATATTTCTTCCTTTGGTGACTTTTAAATCTGCCTTAACTCCCCTACTAGACAGGAAGTATCCTTACTAAAAAAAAAAAATGCTATCATACTCAATAGTTTTTTCCTTTCCCATGTAAAAACTAGCACGAACCTAACATGTCCAATAAATAGTTGTTAAATGAGTGAACGGATATTTCTACCAAGGATGTCAAAGAAACTGTGTTAAACACTAACATTTGTTATGTTTCTGCCATGTCAGGCACTAAGTGATTTATATGTAATAATTTATTTATTTAATTCAACAATCTTTATGAGGTGGCTTCCTTTAAAAACCCCCACATTACAGGTGAAGAAACTGAACTAAAGAGTCGAGATCATTCAGCCTTTTAGTGGCAAAGCTGAGACTTTGAACCAGGTGGTCAGTTTGCAGAGCCCAGGCTCTGTACTACATACAATCTTCTGCTGTATCAGAGAAAAGCACCAATTAATTGGGGTTGCTTTTATTTAGCAAAAAGTCTTGACCACACATCTCTCAGCAGATGACTGCCTGTCTTGAAAATGGGTTTGACATCACTGGAGCATGTGATTCATGCTGAGTCTTTGTAGTAGAAATGGTCATTTTAAAGCTCTCACACAGTGTTGGTATCAGAGTTGCCTGCCACCAAAAAGAAATACTGTTGTGGCCAGGTGTAGTGGTGCGCACCCGTAATCCCAGCACTTGGGAGGCTGAGGCAGGACGATCACCTTGACTTCAAGCCCAGCCTGGGATATATAGTGAGTTTAAGGCCACCCTGAACTACATAGTGAGACCCTATCTCAAAAAGACCAAAAAAAAAAAAAAAAACAGTTCTTGCTAAGTGGAAGACTTTGTCAAAGGTGCTTATAACAGAATATTATAGTAGATTAAAAAACCAAGACATCCCTCTTATGTAGAGTCACTCAAACTCACGTGCTCTTTTACAAAAAGAAGGGTAGCACATTGAAGGCTACGTTTGTGCCAAAGTGTTGGCACAGTTTTCACCCACCATGCTGGGACCCCCAGTCCCTTCTCGTTGGCAGTCCCTGATGCACACAGCCAGCTGGCCCCTGTGCTCCCTTGTTGGCTCCTGAGAACCAAGCCTTGCCCCAGAGCTTGGAGCTCTCACAAAATGGGCCCTGGCTTGGGTCCTGACAATCGAGTAGGGGCTGTGACTTTAACTGACTCTGCCTCATACAGTGCCACCTGTTGCCATCTGTCTGCACACTTACTCCAGCTTGCTCAAAGGCAGCTGATGCTGTGGGATTTTCCCTGCTGTGCGAAGGGTAATAGATATCTGGCTTCTTTAGGGAGGGAGAGTTATTGTCTTTGTTATTTGCCATTTTCCCAAAAATGGTGGAATGATGACATTTTTGTGCTGCGATTTTCTCACTAAGAGTAGTCTACTCTTCCTGCAGCATTGCCAGTGATTACATTATTATTCCATTGCTTGATTATAGTATAGTATAGTATAACTTACTATAGTATAATTCCATATTTTTGAACATTTAGGCTGTCTTAAAATAGTCTAATAGATTTATCTTTACATCCAATCCATGACTATTTCCTTAAGATAGATTTTTTTGAAATTCCATGCTGGGCTTTTGTTCCTTTTTTCCAAATGGCTTCTGAAAAGTTATGCCACTCTTTGCCTCCCTTAGCAGCAGCCATGAGCAGGTAAAAAGAGCAACTAAGTTAAAAAGAAGTTATTTGCAGTTATGAACTTTTAAAATATTTTGTACATGAAAAAATAAGAGCAAAAAAGTAATGGTGGGGCCAGTAAGAGGGAGCTGGGCATATTTGAAAAAATATGTTGGGAGTAGAATGAGGGGCCCTGGCTGGGATGAGTAGAATGGTCCCAGCCCTGGCTGGGATCTGGGATGAGTCACTTGGTCTCCAAGTCTGTTTTCTCATGGTTGGAGAAGGGAAGTGTGCTTACAGGGTTTAGCTTGGTCACTTTATTCTGTAAAGATTTACAAATATGAGGGAGTCTTTTCCAGCTCTAAAAGTCTTTAATTTTGTAGCAAGGCATGATGGCGCATGCCTGTAATCCCAACACTCAGGAGGCTGAGGCAGAAGGATCACAGTGAGTTTGAGGCCAGCCTGGGCTACATAGTGAGTTCAAGACCAGCTTAACTACATAGTGAGACCCTGTCTCAAGAAAAAAAAATTTAATAAAAATTTTAATTTTATAACTGTGGCTTCATTTTCAAAGGAAATAGAAATTGAGCTTCTCCTTCTGATGGCTGTGTTTTGAAAGAATAGACAACCCCCTCCCCTTGCTAGTGCTTTGTGTTACTAATCTCTATTTTAGGAAATGCTAAGCCTAAACTCACCACCACACAGAGTGGTCTCTTCTAGAGATGACTTTTCACAAAAACCAGAGAGAATTTGAGAGACAACATTAAAAGAGATTCCTGGTTGCATAGTTATATATAAATTTTTCAAAAGTCATGCATCTATTTTTACATGAGGTAATGCTAATCTGCAACAGCACTGAGGGACAATCATGTGATTCCCACAAATTCCGGACTTGGGGTGGTGCTGGTGCTAGTTTTGGGCCTTTATGGTGCAGTGATTTAATAGATGGCAAGAAGGGAGAAGTTCAAAAACTGCCCAGTCAGGCCTTCCTGATGCAGGGGTGGTCATCTGGCAGCCTCTGTGGGCAAGTGTTTGCTTATTGGTCACCTCAGTGTCAAGCTGTTTGTCATCAGACGCTTCCTCATCTTCAGTGAGTAAGAACTTTGGTTACTGAGATAAGATTTGTCAGGAATAAATACCAATGTCCAGTCATTTCCTTCCTTTTTTTACAGCAAGCAAACTGAAGAGGATCCAGGCACACAAGAACTAGAAGCATTAATAGACACAATCCAGAAGCAACTAAAAGATCATCCATGCAAAGACAACATTCATGAAGCATTTCAAATTTATGACAAGGAAGATTCAGGATACATGGACAGAGAGACATTCTTCAAAATCTGTGATTCTCTGAATGTCCCAGTTGATGACTCTGTGGTCAAGGAGGTCAGTATGGATTGCTGTTTGGGTGACACTCACATGTGTATTTATTTTAGCTGGGGAAGATTTAGGATGTTTTAATCAGATCTCCTATTTTGTCCTTGATATAGCTATTTCCCTAATTCTAGCATTGACTTTTTTTTAAGTTGCTACTGGAGAGCATCTCTTTAAACAGGCCCAGGACTAGACAACACAAACTGGTTGCTAGACCAACATGCCAGGACCAAATAGGGCAGCAGAGATGATCCTCCAGGGACAGCTGCCAAGGGGACACTCAAAGACAAGTTGATGAAATGAGACAGTCGGTGGCCTTTGATACCCTTCATAGCCAGAACCTATCTGAGCCTGTCTGTAGGCTCAGCATGAAGGACAATGTGGCCACTGTCCAAATGGGCAACAAGTAGCTGCAGATGTGGAGAAGGCATGAAGTTTTACTCCAAGAATTCTCATAAGTGAGTTGAAGAGGGAGTTTCATGCCTTTCTTGCTTTATAAATCTCTTTACTCAGGGTTCCCCTTGGAAGTTAGAATAAAATCCACCCTCCCAATTGTCAAGGACCCTGGTTTACTTTTAAGACATTTTTACTGATTAAGAAGAATAAGGTTATGCAGAACTTCTTAAAGGTTTTTAAGCATAAAAAAAAATCAGAAGTTAAGGGCTGGGGATTTAGCTCAGTTGTTTCTCTGCCTGCTGCACAAGTGCAAGGACCTGAGTTCAATCCCCGGTACCAAAAAAAAAAAAATTCAGAAGCTAAAAATCTACTTAGGCAAGTTTTGTTTGGGCTAAATGACCAGCTTGGAGATGATTTTTGGTTTTAATAGACAGGAACATTTGCAGGGAGTTGGGGAGGGGCTGTGGAGGGATATTTGTTCCTGTGAGCCAAACCATTTAGTCCCCCAAATGTGAGATTGAATACATGCCTAGTTTTTTGTTGTTGTTGTTGTTGTTGTTGTTGTTATTGTTTAAATTTTCAAGAAATTTTAAGACACGGAACTGACATGGGAGATGGGAAGCAATCATAGAAAGTGGGACAGGGATGGAAGGGGTGGGGGCAGATATGCATGTATCTTATAGTGATGACCACAATTATTCTGTTACCAGTCACAGCCGAGTTCCGGGGGCATGGGTTAAGCAGTAACATAATTAGATGTTTCTATTAGGCTGTGATAATAGAAACTTGCTTTTTAAGAGTGTTAGTTCTTCATAGACAAAGTCTTATATTTGGATATAAAAACAGTTACAAAGGACAAAACCTTTATGAATATGGATGTAAACCCTGAATTCTCGGGCAAGCCATTTACTCCATCCAGCTTTGGTTTCATTAAGTGTAAGACAAGAATAATGTCTAACCTACCTACCAGGTTCACAGGATCATTTCAGAATCCCGAGGATATAAAACCTGAGCTCTGCTTAAGTACACTGTGCAGTAAGTGGAAGGAAGCCCGGCATGTCTGTCTTACTTCTTTTCTCTGCTCTCTTCTGCAGTTAATCAGGTTGTGCTCTCCTGGAGAAGGCAGGATTAACTACTATAACTTTGTTCGTGCTTTCTCAAACTGACCTGGATGGTGAGAGAACACAATACAAATTTTTGATGTTGGACCTAAACTTGGAAATATGTCTTGTGCTCTTCATAGAGGCATCTATAGAGCTCCTGAAATTGTATTTCTTTTTTGGTTCTTGTTTCACAACTGCTGAAGTCTAAATTAAATTGATTCTAAGATTAAATATTTTATACTGGTGCCTCTTTAGGGGTAGTTAGGGCTATTGTAATGGTTAATTTTGTCAACTTAACTGGGTCATAGGGTGTCCAGGTATCCACCAACATTATTCTGAGTGTGTGTGAGGGTGTTTGGGATGGAATTAACATTTGAATAGGTGACTAAGTAAGGCAGATAGCCTGACCTAAAGTGGGTGGGTCTCGTTCAGTCCTGAAGACCTGAATAGAACAGGCCAACTGACCATCCCTTGAATAACAGGATTCCTGCCCCACTGCCTTCCAACTGTGACTTGGCCTTTTCCTGACTTCAAAGCAGCTCTCCTGGGTCTCAAGCTTTTGGACTCAGAATGGAACTACACCCTCTGCTTTCCTGGACCTCCAGGTAGCCAAGTCACCCTGCAGATCTTGGGAACTGTCAGCCTCTGTGATCACAGGAGCCATTTCTTATAATCAGCCAGTCTCTGTGTGTCATACACACACATTTACCCTCTTGCCTCCTAAATTCTAGTAGTTATGTTTCTCTGGAAAACCGTGATAAAGATGTAGAGTAATTAAGAGCAGGAGAAATGGTGGATTTTTTTGTAGAAACATTTGCAATGTTGGAAATAAGTGCACAGTATCACTGCTGCTACTAGCCAGTGGCCTACCACTATCCGTCTGCTTCCCCCAGTATTATAGGGAAGCAGGGCCGGGCACTTAGCTCAGCGGCACTGTGCCTGCCTTCCAAGTGCATGGTCCTGAGTTTAATCCCTGGTACAAAAACTAAAACAACTAAGTCTTTTAGGGCCAGAGATTTAGATCAGTGGCACTGCACCCAGCTCAGAAGTGCAAGGTCCTGAGTTTGATCCCCAGTAGCAGAAAAAAGAAAGAACAAAATATTATAGGGAAGTATTCTACATGTTTTTCAAGCTGTGGTTCTAGACTGATCAGCACAGTACACATGGCATGGTGTATATTTTTATGAAACTTCACTTGAGTTCATGTTTACTGATTATGATGTAAAGTGTATTTGTTTATGTCAGTTTCAGCAAAGAAAGAAAGAGAGAAAAAGAGAAAAAGGAAGGAAGGAAGGAAGAAAGAAAGGAAAGAAGGAGGGAAGGAAGGAAGCAAGGAAGGAAGGAAGGAAGGAAGGAAGGAAAGTCAGACACTGCTTTTTGAGAACGTGGCCAGAAAGGAAAGACTAGTACCAGTTCTCTAATGAGCTCTGACTTTTAGAGCTAGGACTCCTCTTTAGTTGGAATCAGCCACCACCTTCATCTTTAAAAATGCCATCTCCTCAGGAGTTGGAGGCAAGAGGGTCACTGTGTGTTCAAGGCCAACCTGAACTACATCGCGAGACCCTGACTCAAAAACAAACAAACAAGGCTGGGGATTTAGTTTAGTGGTTCTGCCACCTGCCTTGCAAGCACAAAGATCCGAGTTCGATCCCCAGTACCAAAAAACAAACAAATAAAAACACACATTTCAAATTCCTCCCATGTACGCCAAAATGTGAAATGAATAAGAGTTGTGGGCCGGGGATTTAGCTCAGCGGTTCCGGCGCCTGTCTCGCAAGCGCAAGAACCCGAGTTCGATCCCTGGTACCAAAAAAAAAAAGAGTTGTATAGGATCCAGGATGCCTGGGTCCCCTTGCAACTGCTAGAGAGCTTCCATTGCTTTTTCCTTTCCTTTAAGGGCTATAAATATATTGACTCCCTTTCTGTTCCAGATTGGTACAGTACCTCAGGAAGAACCCGTATTTCATTTCACTTTTATAAATCACTCATAACTATTTTTAAATTTCATGTATTTGGGCTGGGTGTGGTGGCACATGCCTATTATCCCAGCACTCAGGAAGCAAAGGCAGGAGGATGGCTGTGAGCTCTGTGAGTTCGAGCCTACCCTGGGCTACATAGTGAGTTCAGGACCAGCCTAAAACTACAAAGCAAGACCCTGTCTCGAAAAACAAACAAACAAACAAACAAACAAACATTTTCCTGTATTAAAAAGTTCATTTCAATCCAGAAAATACTAAATGCTGAAGTGGGGACATAGCTCAGTGCCCGAGGCCCTAGGTTTGATTCCAGCACTACTAAACAAACTAAATACTCAGCTGTACCCTGCCTATCCCAGGCCTGGAAGGCTCTAGTAAAAAGAGTGTGCTGTATGTGTTGAGATAGAGGAACAGACTTACTCCTTTCTCTGGCTTCTGCTCCCCTTGTCCATATTCAGCCATGCTGCTATTAGGGTCTGGGAATAGTTAAAGGGCAGAGAGAGAGACAGAGAGACTGATTCAGCTGTGCAGTTAAGCAGCTCAACCCCTGCCCTTCAGACTTGTTTTAGGTGAGAATCAGCTAGCCTGCATGTTGTGCTCTCCAAGTCCAGGGGACACGTCTTGCTTTAACAAAAGCATCCCCTCAGTCACAGATGCCGACAGCCTGACCAGGAAAATAGCACTCTCAGTTCTCTCTCCATCACTCCTGCCTCCTGCGGAAAAGTTCACCGAAGCTTCAGGCCCCTCTTCAGAACATCCACCCAGTTGGCAGCATGTGGAAGTACTTCCCATTTTCATCCTCAGCTTTGGGCCTTAGCTGAAAGGGAGATTTGGGAAAGTTTCATTTAATACCCTCTTACCCTCACTTTGAAATCCAAGCATTCACAGCCCTTCCACTTCAGTTCTGACCACTCATTTCTTTTCCTTTATTTTTTCCACTAGGTACAATGGTGACTGCAGTGGGGCCTAGTATTACAATGCCAGCCCCACTGTCAGAAGCTCCAGTTGTTAGAAGTCTTAAGCTTACTTTCCACTCCTTGTCTTCCATCTCCTTCCGAGTTTACCCATGATTGGGTGCTAAGCTCTCATAGCACCATTTTGAGGTATGAAAGCTACTTTGGGAAGGACCACAGCCAGCAGGACATTTATGTGGCATCCTCATACTCACTTATCACCTGTTAGTTTATACAAGGCAGCAAGTATAGGAACCACCGAAGTCAGGGCAAATTAGATATCACTAGTCACCACGTGCTACAGTCACAGCTGTCATACATCTGGAGTCCTGAGCTCAAGTGATGGAACAGAGCTGAACATTGGCCTGCACCAATCAATGCTGTGGGAAGAAGAAATGATCACATTAAATTGGCCACCTGGGACTTGAATCAGAGCATATTAGCATTACCAGTTACTGTTTTCAGTGGAGAAACACTGGTAGCTCTGGCTATCAAATTTACCTGAAGGATGTTATCTAAAACTGACTGGGGTGGCTGAAGGCTTCAAGGGCTTCAGGCCTAAAAAAAGAAAAAGAAAAAAAAAAAAAAACTGCCTGTGGAGCTTGGCGGGTCAGGCAGAGATTGGCCCTGTTAGCTGCTCTGAGTCGTGAGGCTGTACTTGAATGTAGCACTAGAGGCCTCGAAAATAGCATCTGGTAACTAAGGTCTATCAAATCTGTATCTATATGAGACCAACAAGTAGAGAAAACTTCTCTAAATGTTGGGTAAGTGACCACGGAGCAACCTGATGACACTTAAGTATGAATACATTCATTGAAAAAATATATTGACTGTTTAACTTGTGCCATGAACTTAGTATTCACTATCACCATTGACCATTCCCCAGATAACAAAAACGAACCGAGAAGACACAGATGAACAAACAGGCTAAGAAAGGTTAACTGCTGGGTCACCCAGCTCCTCATGCAGTGCAAAGTCTGCACCAAACTGTGCCTGGTATTAGTAGCACTCACCCTCACCTGAAGTAAGCGTGTCCTGTCATTCTCACGCCCTGTGAGTGTCCCCCTTGTAACCGCACTCATCTCCTAAACTCTCTCACATGGTTCTGGAAAACAAAGCAAAACAGCTCTGGCTATTTAAGTGACAGCAGCAATCCCCACTGCCCACCAGTATTACTAATACTGGGGCATCTTCTGGTAGTCACCAACATAGTGCCTTTTCCATATACATTGAACCCCATCTGCTCCAAGGCAAATAACTCCACAGCACATCAGGCATTAAACTTGGACTTCCTTCTGGAGCATCCTGCCCACATTAAGAAAACCCCCCTTTCCACTTTACTGTTATGCAATAAATGAAAATGCCTATTACTGTCTAGTACTTGATATAACTGACTCTTCATCTTTAATTCCAATTCCCTGATTCATATTACTGCAATGGACAGCCATATCTCAATGTAAGAAATGACTAGTGGGGGCTGAGGATTTAGCTCAGTGGTGCCGCCGCCTGCCTCCCAAGCACAAGGACCAGAGTTTGATCCCCGGTAACAACAACAAAAGAAATGACTAGTGGAAAACTTTGGACAACAGGGCTAAAATTGATGCAAACTCATTTTTAAGTAAAAGCCAAAAGCATTATATAAAAGCATGTGAAGGAATTAGACCAGAGAGAACAGACTGATGATTCTATGCCTTTTATTGTTATTTCAGAAAATATTTGATTTGTTTAAAAATGTACATTTAAAAAACCCATACAAAACTGTAATTTGCTGTAAAACCAGACAGAAACAGTGGAAAAAGGATTTTGAAAAAAGTTCACCAAAAGTAAAAAGATGCCCCTCCCCCCAACCCTTTTACACGAAGGCATAAATACGGCAGGTACAAATGTTCCTTGAGTTCCTTGTTGCAATTTGGTCCATAACATGAAGAGGCTAAAGTAGAAAAACAATGTGCCCACGTTTGCATTATGAGTTGCTCTGGGTACCAGCAGCCTCAGCTCATCCTTCAGGCGTTTATTAAACAGAGGAACTGAAAAGTGAGGTTTATAGTCTCATCAAACACTGGAATCTGTACCCAGCAGATGGTGGTACCACCACAGCCAGATCCTAGCAAGTGGACAGGGCCTGCCACCCATGGCCAATTCTCAAAAGACATCTCCCATCTTCACAGGAGCAAGAAACCGTGGAATGTTCTTAAGCAGAGTGGTGGTGATGCCAGTGGCATCAAAACAGATGTTAGTCCCAGACACTGACTTAGGTCCCATCCTGAGGATGGTTTTTTCCTTTCAAAACATATTTTTTTAATGTAAGGACTTCTAATAGTACATGTTCTACAATAGTGCCACAGAAACCCTCCCAGGATCATGAGAATGACAGCAACAAAGGAAAAGCGGTTGACACATCTTCTGTAAGGAATAATGGCCCCTCCCATGGGTCCCCTTTCCCCCTACTGCAGGGTGTTATAAGGGACAGACATGCCTGTGGAAAGACCACTGGCGGGTACAGTTATTGCACAACCCGGAGGAATGGGAACAGGCAGGCAAGGGGCAGGAAAGGGCTGCTGCTACACAAGTCTACCTAACTCGGGAGTCAGCAGGTTTGCAGCTGCAGTCCAGACCCACCGTCAAACAGGTTATCTACATGCAGCCCCTGGACTAGGGAGTACCAGTAAACATCCTCCTCGTAGGAACTTTGGGCTGTTTAGGAAGTGATATGGGTGGGAGGAGGATATAGCAAGGCCACCTTTGTTTCTACCCTGGGATGGAGGGACCATGCAGGGCCAGAGGCACAGGGGGCCAGGTGTGCTGAAGCCTCTGAGCTTCAGTAAAAAGTACAAGGCACAGGGCCCTACTTTGAGCTACCTAACAGGCTTCTTGGCCACCTGGCCAGGTTGGGATGGTGGGGCGGTTCCAAGGGAAAAACCAGAAACAATGCAGGGATCACACCAGAGGCTACTGCTCTGGGGGGAGGGGACAGATGAGGTGACACTGTCAGTCACTATGTCCCTTTCCTGCATTACCTCTGCTGAGGTACGGTGTCTGTGGCTGCGTGCACCCAACAGCTCTATGGCCCCCACAGCTGGCAGCTGGCCACACAGTACAGATGAAGGCACACAGCAATGTAAGGCACTTTTGATACAAAAGGAATGATTTGTCAGGACCAGGACAGAAGCCCCGAGCATGAAATGATGACAGCCTCTGGGTCCCACTGCCCCATGGCTGTGAGGATGGGTGACCTCTGTACAGTGTGGGGTGGAAGGTACAGGAGCTGGAACATGGAAGTAATCCTCATGCAGGAAGCAGGGTGAAGGGTGAAAGGCTACAAAGGCTTCCTAGCAGGGCCAACCACTGGCTGGAGAGGGGTCCTATTGGTACTTAAGTGATCCAACAATGACCTCATTGTCCAGTAGCCCCAAAGGCCTCTCACAAGGAAAAGGGCTGTATACTTGGGAGGCAGCTAGGGCAAAAGACCACCCAGCTCGTTTTCCACTCTCTAGCAAGAACAGGAGGCTAAGTTCTGAGGTCTGTCTACCTTGGGACATGGAGGCTCCTAGGCAGAGAAGGGAAGTTAGCTAAGTCCAGACTCCCAGGCCTTCTCCCACCTCAGCAAAACCAACTGGGAAAGCTGAAGCACAGAAAATAAACCCGAAGGCCTTCCCCAGCCACAGGGGGCCAACAAGCCTCTTTTAAGAAAAGCATCTGTGAAACAGTATAATGATGGAATTTCCGTAGGTCACTGTCTCTCTGTTCCTACCTCTTATTTACCACTTAGAAAAAGGTCAAGGTGGATTGAGGAAGGAGGTCCCAAAAGAAAACCTAGAAGCACATCCTTAGAGGTCCCTGGTGCCAAGGGCTCTCAAGAGTCCCAGGATTCCAGCTGAGAATAGCATGAAGGTGGCCAGAGCACAGGTGTCTAAATTGGTTTCCTAGGAGTTGCTTGGTTCTGCTTTGGGACAGGAATAGGCAACCTTCTCAGCAACCTTTATGTCTGGTGGCCCAGGAACACTCAGGGCTAGGACTGACACCAGGGGGAGAGACAGCTTCCCTCCTGGCTATGCATGCTCCCCTTTCCCCCAGAGCCACCCAACCTTTAAGAGGAACACAGAATTATTAATAGTGCAGCTATCATAGCCCAGATGCTAAAAATAACTTTCCCATCACTGAACTCCCAAGAGGGGAATCAACACTAGGGAGTGCTCCTTCCACCAAAGGCCAAGCTCTCCCACCACTGCCATCTGCTGGTGTCCCCACAGGTGGGCCAGGGAGGGATGTTGAGAGGCACCTTGGCTGCTGAGGTAGATAGGCATCTTCTCCCCTTGGTAGATGGTGCTGCGCTGGCCTCTCAAACCGGGAGGGGTCCGACAGGGCTTTCACAAGAATGAAGAAAGTAGCCAACATGCTCAAATTGGTACAAGCTAGTCCAACAAACTCACAGGATAAAGTGGAATTGAGTGACTTAAAGCCTGGCTGGTGCCAACTTGATAATGACTTGGCTTTGCTATGACATTACTGTGCCAGGGAGGAAGTAGCCTATAATTACCCTCTAAGCGCCCCAAACATCTCTGAGGCCCAAGCTGGTGAGCAGTCACTCTTATTCATGATCTCATGGCTTTTTCTTTTAACACAGGAAAGATTTTACCATCTCCTGTCACTGAGCAAATACTTGTCCTTTAGGGAACAGTCCCTAAGGCAACCCTGGCCCCTGGGTTTGTGGTACCACACCCAAGGCACAATAAACTGGTAGCACCAGATGCTTGTGGAAGACTTAGGGAGAATGAAGACATGTCATCTCTAGTACCCAAGTATCCAGGGACAGAGCAATGGAGATCTACATGCACAATGGGGCTGCTAGACCCAAGATGTCAGTGGCTGACTACCATGAAGTCCCCTTCTCACAGAACATCACCAGCATACAACAGTAGCTCAGCTAGGCTCCTAGGGGAGGAGGGGGGTCTAGAGGCTGCTGGCTGCACCCCACCTCCACAAGCAGTTCCAAGCAGGGCAGGGAGCATGTGGCTAAGGGGCCCGTCAGCTCTGAGTTCATACCAACCTGAAGGAAAGAGAGGGAAGCAGGAGATGCCTACTTTCAAAAATGCTATCCTGCTTCCTAAAGATAATCAAAAGAAACCAAGGGTATTCTTCCCAATTCTATGTGCTTATCCTGAGCAGAGAGATAACAGTCTAAAATGGTGTCTGGAAACAAATCTCTCAGTTACTGGTAAGTCTGACTTTGTAATGCAGGTGACAGAAAAGGGGAGGTCCCTTGAGGAAAAGATCCATCTCCTCCTTTTTCAGTAAAAACCCAAGGTCTGGTCTCTACTATGATGTCAGCTAGAGCGCTAGTATGCCAGGTGACATTAACATTCCTGTGCCACCCTGTGCTCCCCTTTGCCTCAGCACAGAGTTCAAGGTTCTTAATCAGGATCTCTGAAAGCCTACCTCCCCTCTGGAAGTCCTCACAAAGCACCATAAGGACCTGACAGCCCCATCTTTACATAGACAGGGAGGAAAGAATACTGGTGGGAGGGGACAGAAAGATTCCTGTCGACATGGCTCCATCTGCTCATCCAACCAAAAAGTGACTCTGAATCAGTCCTAGTTCTACACTGTGGTGTGCTCAACACACATCAGCAAATGACAACTCCAAAGAGCACTCAACAAGTGAAGCCAAAGGGAAGGTGGCCAGGTGACCCTCCCTGGGACACTGGGGACTGGTGTGGGGCTTAGGGTCTCTGCAGATAGAAAGATGAAGTCCAAGTAGCAAGGTTGGCCCTGACAGGGCTGGCTGGTTCTAGACTTTAGACCGGCACATCTGGGGCAGGTTGCTAACAGCTGTTTGGTTTGGTTTTGAATGCTGGTGAATGGTGGAAGACACATGGCTGCTGGCACCAGTGGAGAAAGGCCCAAGTCGACTGTGCAGTCCTTCCTGTCTTGTCCGTTACATTTCCAGAAGTGCCGGCTGCTTACCACGCTTGGCTCGTGCTGTACAAGTGGGAAGACATGTCCTCCTTCAGCATGTACCCCCACATCGAGGGCAGACGGTTTCCAGCCCAAGCCCAGCACTGAGGAGCTCTCTGCAGTCATGAGACCTACAGAACGAACAATGTCCTAGATGGAGTTGCTGGAAGCCAGAGCCAAAGGCCTCAGCATCATTCCCAACCAGCAGCAGCTGCCACATCTCTAGCTGGTTCTCACGGGACCGGAATCATACATCTCCACATCAATCAGCACCAAGGAGGTTGTGATCCAGTAGGGCGGCCCTCCTCTTCCTGCCCCTCCACACAAGGACTACTGCAGGGCCAGCCACTGGCCCTAGGCAAAGCTCCTTGGCATGAGGCTTCCAGATTGACAGCTCCTGCAACTCACAGGCAGGACTGCAACCGTAGCTCCCTCCCATTGTAAAAATCAGACAGAGAAACTGCACGTTAAGGTAAAATTAAGAAATAAAAAGAAAAAGAAGCAGCCATGAATGAAGAGAAAGAAGAGGTAAGCTGAAGGAGAACCATGAGAATCTAGGCTTCAAGAAAACCCAACACAGGACAGAGGTGAAGCCTTGAGGTGGCTTGAGGGAGTGAAAGAGAAAGATTTTTGGCTTTATTGAGAAAGGTATGTGGAAGAAAAAGAAGAGAAAGCCAAGAAGAAAGAGAACCCCCTTTGAAGACAGGTTCCTGCGGACTGAGATGGAGCACTTCGAGGAGGAAGGAGGAGGCAGTGCGGGGCCCGGGCTCTGCCTCCTGGCCAGGCCCCCACTAAGGATTCCTGTTCTCAGCACTTTGGCCTTAAGGAGACTTGAGTTTCTTAGTCCGTGGGGAGGTTCCATTCTCTGCTTTCACTACTCCATTTTCATGGTAACCTGGGGAGTGGAGAGAGAGAGACACATGTGGGCTTTCTACTGGGACTGTGGAGGAGAATGGAGAGTAGCCTGCGCCAGAGAAGGCGTGTGGGGGTGCCGGAGGGCACCAGGCTGTGGTTCCCTGCAGCAGTGGAAGCCAGCAGACCGCTCCCAGCAGGGCCCTGCTTCCCCTGTGTCTTGGATAAGTGCCTCTGTTTGAGGAGCCTGGTTATCTGTCCTTTAGCAGTGTGGCCTCAGCTGACATACAGAAACCCAGAAACAGCCCTGGACCAGGGCAGAAGCTGGCTGGCATCACTTGGAGGCTGCCAGTATCCTCGGTTCCTCTCAGGTCCCTCAGGGCACTAGCAACTCAGAACAGTGGCAACAGAAAAAAAGTAGGCACAGGAGGCCACAGGGAAAGGCCTTCCTTGGATGCCCAACACTCTGGCAGAAACAGCGTGCTATCTTTTATTACCGTGAAACACCTCCATGTGCTAGATCTGCTGAGCTCACACCCTGCCCCTGCCCAGGCTGCCTCCTCAGCACACCCAGCTATGCACAAGTCTGCCTCAAACACAGGAGCCCTTGCCAAGCAGGTGGCCACTTGGAGAAGAGCAGATGAGTCAGAAAACATATCCTGCTGCAGACAGGCCCCCAAGGCTGGCCAGGAAGTACACAGCAGAAAAGCACACACTCCAGGTAATTACTGGAGTGTGTGCAAGGGCCAAAGAAGTGGGTGTCCCACCCCTGCGGCCCACTAAACACTGTGTCACCGTGAGTCATTTCTGCATAGAGAGGAGCCACCCACCCGGGAGGCAGGGGCAGGCCCAGATGTAGGGCACAGGGGCAGATGAGGACACAGCTGGCTGCTAGAGTACAGTGCATGGGCGGTGGCAGCAGCAACAAAACTTGGCTGGGCTCCAGGAGCTACCCTGAGGACACGCTTCCCGCCAGAGGTCCTCACCCATTGCTGCCCTGCCCAGAAGTACCAGGGCTCTGGGCCTAGTTTGGGCCAGCCCCACCCACATTATCCCTGGCCCATGCCCAGCCACACGCCACTCAGGGAGCCCTAGGCCCGGGGAAGCAGTCGGGAAGGAGGAGCAGGAGGACTGGCGTGAGAAGTGCACAAGAGCCCTGGGTCCTCCCCACCATCCCAACAGTCCTCACCCACGCTCTTCAGGCTGCGGGGGCTGGCACTCACCAGATTCCCTCTTGGTGAGCCTGGCTGGGAGCCTGGGGACAGCTGGGACTCTCCGTTTGGCATTCTGCTCATTCCAGTATTCCCGCCAGTGTCGCAGCTGGGAGTGGATGAAGCGCCACATAAGCCAGGCCTGGGCAGCACACACCAGCAGCAGCATGCAGAGCCTGCAGAAGGCAGAGGGGCGCTCCAGGGAGGCAAGGCAGGGACCCTGCAGCTTGCAGGCTACTACTACCAGGAAGAGTGGAGCCTTGGCGTAAGGCTGTGCTCTGCCACACTGGCAGTGTGAAGGGACTATCCTATCCGGGGAGATGGGAAGGAGGCAGTGACAGGGGCCCTCCAGGCCCACAGCCCCATGACTCCCATGCCCAGGGGTCCCCAGCCACACTGCTTTAGTATCCACAGTATCACGTAAGGCTGATACAAGCTCCACAAATATTGGTGGGCTTCAAATGAACTGAATTATGATATGGCAGAAATAATTCTTCAAAAGTAGCTTCTTGTCTGGCATGTCACTCAAAGGTAGAGCAAATGTGGACAATCACATACTCTCTAGGGCCTGTGGGCTCGTGGAAACACATGCCTCCTGGCTGCCATCCTTGCTGGTAGGGAAGGCCACTGGCCAAGCCATGGATACCACAGGTTCCTCCCTATACACAATCTTTGATTATTTGCATACTAGCTGTACATATTAACGGGTTTCATTTTGGCAATAAAGAGCTTATGCATGGTTGTAATGATCAGGTGAGAGACTGGATGAAAAACTCCTGACAAACTGGGCATAGGTAAGGGAATCTGCACTTGACTAAGACCCTGACTGAAGCCTGAGCAGACCACAGCCAGGGAGTGACAAGGGTTTTGAAGGAAGGACAAGGCATCTTCTTCCTTTAGGCCTGATGTCTGGAGATTTCCAGCTAAATATCAGTGTATGGGAGACTCAAGGGTCTGCCACCTCCTGACCTTTTATGGAAGTTGTGCCAAGTTCAGGAGGCTCCTGGCAGGGCTCCAGGGAACCCTGATTCACCACCTTAGGCTTCTGTCCAACTTACCTGCAAAGCAAGGTGTTGAAGTTCCCTTTCTCAGGCTCAAACGCCTGGTTTTCTGTGCGAGCCAGTCCAAAGCCGATGGCCAGCACGGCGAGAGTGAGGATGAAGAGGCGTGTGACCCCAAATACAGCAGCCCAGGCATTAAACCTGCTCGCAGAGGCAGAGAAGTGACATCAGCATTTAGGATCCTTGAAGCAACCCTCACCTATGTATCCAGAAGCAACCCTGAGTAGGAAAAGGCCTCAAGGGTGGCCTGGGAAGGTGTTCAAGATATCTAGAATATGATGCTCCAGGAAGACAGTAACCTAGGGTGAGCAGCTTACACCCAGGTGGGAGCCTCCAATGCTCAGCCCCCCCAAGTGGCCCCCAGCAGCCTCACTTACAGCTTCTCATTGTTCTCATCTGCAAAGTAGAAGAGTCGAGCCATGTAGAAGAGGAACTCTGTCGAGTACTGCAGCAGCAGCAAGATGAGGCCCAGGCGGCTCAGGCTGCAGAGGGGAAAGGCAGGGAGGAAGCCATCACACTCTCTGGGCTCATGCTGAACCCTGTGCCTGGACTCCACTTTCTCACTGGCCCTGTCCTGTCCTTTAGGATGCAGTTTAGCTGTTGTACCTTTAGGAATTCTCCCTAAGACTGCCCCTGGTCTTGCTCATCCCATCCAGGTCTGGTTCCCTTGCCCGATTCCAGCCTTGGCTGAGGCTCTGCACCTTCCACTCAGCACCCTGCCAGAACCAAGACCATTACAGAAGCTCAGATCAAGTCTGCTGAGCCCTGACTGTGGAAATACAAAGGGTTCCTGCTGTGTGGCTTCTCATTATCCCAGTCATCCCACTTGCAGAGCACCAGGCGACCTCCTACGTGGTCCTCAGTACACAGTGCCGGGGGAAGCACAGACCAGCTTCCATAGACCCACTCTGCATTGACCATGTCACCCAAAACCAGAGCAGAGCTGGGCCACACAGCCTGTGCCCCTCCAAGTCCCATCTGGGAACTGACGTGGCTTTAGGCCTCCAGAAAGGAGACAGAATGGAAGCTGAGGCTTCTAAGACTCTGTTAAGCCAAGTCAGTCATTTTCACAACACACCACCATGAAGACCCTGGAGACAGGTCCAGGGACCTCCAGGCCCTCAGCAAAAGTTACACATAGCGAGCTCTCAAGTCCCAGCCTACAGAAAATACCAGCTGTTCTCCTACCCTGCAGGGATAAAAACCAAGACAACTCCAAATTTGTCAATGGTGCAGCCTATTCATCAGTATGATTCTTTTCATAAAAGCATAGGTCAAACATTACAGTAATGCTTTCTACTTCTAGAACCACCACACAGTGAACTACTTTCCATTTCATTACAAACCAAAGAAAAGAGAAGCCCAGGGCTATGAACTCTAGTGGCATCTGGACCCTGTGAAGCAGGAATCCAGCTTCAGCTGCCTTCAATGTTCAAAGTTATGGTTCAAGTCCAACATCCATCAGAAGTCTTCCCTGGCTCCCCATGGCCAATGATACATGCTTAATCACAGGGCCTCTCGAAGTAAACTGTCCTGACCTAGTCTGTCTGTCCCACTAGGTGGGGATGAACCACTGAAAACAAAGCAATTGTTATCTCTCTTTGTACTCCTAAGTCTTAGCATGGTATCAGCACACAGGTGGCACCTACTAAATGCCTGCTAATTGAATGATTGTATGGATAGACACAAGGGTGTAAAAGGGCAAGGAAACCTGGCTGCTCAGGGCCTCACTTACTTTAAGAGGTACGCTCCGGCTATGTGGACCAGGTACAGGCAAATATACTGGAGCTGGCGAGGAATTTCCTCCTAGAAACAAGAGCAGACAGTGACTGCTTGTTCCCTGCTGAAGATGCAGGGTATGGAGGGGAAATGTGAAAGGACGAAAAATAAAATAAAAATTGCAATTGCAAAAAAAAAGCCTAAAGACCAGCTACTGGTTACATCTACAAAATGTAAAGTGCTATTGTTACCAGCCACTTTACACAACAGTCCAGAGTGGTCAAATACTGACCAATAAAGTTTCTTCTTTTTTCTCCTTCTTCTGCATCATTACTACTCGACGAGTCTCATGACAGCCTGCATAGACGGGGGCAGCCTAGTGGCCTGGCTTGGTGACCAAGGACAGAGGCTGGGCTTGTAGCAGAGGGAGGGCCTGTTGAGTGTGGAGCGCGGCGGGGAAGGCAGGGGGTGAAGCCAGCAGAGCAGCAGGCATGGACCCCAGCAGGAGTGGCTGCGACAGCAGGGGAGGCTGGCTGGATGTGATCATCCTTTGATGTCTTGTTAATGCTTGAGATGTTTTCGTAAATTATACGGAAAAATGTGTAAGTACTTTTCAGTTTTGCTTTGGTTGAGTTCTATTATATTTGAATATTATTATAATTTTTTTCCCTTGCAATGCTTTTCTTTGAATAATTTTAAATTTTGTATATGTGTGTGTTTAGTGAATGATAATAAATTTATATGTTTTTTAAAAAATTTAAAGCTGCGAAAAAGGCAAAAACCCTCTCCCGTTTTTCTAGGAGTCAGGTTTCCCCAAAGTCACATGCCTAGTGGAAGATGCAGACTATGGACTGACACTGGTGTTCTACTCTCTTGGGGGTCTCTGTGGCACTTCTACAGGGCTCACCCAGAGTTTTCCTTAAGCCCCGCACATCCCATCCCCCGCCACACTCCTGCTTCTGGAAGAAGGGAAGGGGGTACCACAGGAACAGCAGGAGGAACGTGGAGAACAGGGCCTCAGGAGGATGGGCAGAGTACTCACCTTCCGTACCTTCTGGAAGTAAAGCTCAGGAAGGGCATGTAGCCAGTAGGCCATCTGGCATAGGTAGAAAAACTTCACCTGGAAGCTGGAGGCAGAAAGCAAGTCACATGGGTGGGATCCAGTAAAATGCCCCCAAAGGGTCTACTGAGTGCACAGAGAAAAGATGGCCAAGGCTGAGTGAAGACCCAGGACCATATACAGGGACAAGGAAAAGCCAAGGAAAAAATCAGGAGTACTTTAAAGTCTGTGGGGTCGCGGGGGCTCTACAGTCTAGACAAACATATTACAGCATACTGCTAACACAGAACCCCCCACTCTGAATATAGTGAGCCACTGTGGCCCTTGTAGCAATGGAAGGTTGAGCCCAGCTCTCTGTTTTTTGCTACTGTTGCTCTGAAAGGCCTTATGAGAAACACAGCACAGCCTCTTGAGGGAGTCAGGACAGGTCCTGGCAGCAGCAGAGAGGCCAGGGATGCTCCATCTGAGACAGCAAAGACTGCTATGAATGTGAGGGGTCAGCAAGGAGGCACAAAGCCAGAGGCCCTTACAAAGGGTTTTGCTTTACATCTGTCCCATGCACTTAAGGTTCTGTGGGGGCTCTGTACAGTGCAGGTGACATTCCACCTGGGGTTCTCCTGTCAAGCACACTGATGGGCCTACTGTCCTCACGCCATGCCCTGATAGGCTCAGGTCATGATCTGGTCCCCACACCAGCTGGCCACATACTGAGAAGCCAAGCTCAGCTCACCCTTCCCTGGAGACCAAGGCAGGCAAATACTCACGAGAGGTACACATGTGGATAGTCTTCCCAGAGGCTTCTTGGGTTCGTTAAGTATCCTTCCTGTGATAGGAGAGAAGAGAGGGAATTTACAGATGTGGACATGTGACCAGTCCCAGGGTCATAGATGCACTCAGCCGCCACCTGCTAGAAAGAGGAAGGAACAGACGTGACAAGGCAGGACCTGTCTAGTGGTGAGAGTCACGATGCAGTAGGAAGCATCATGCTCTAGTGTCTGAAGACCTGTGCCTCAACTCAAGTTTGACATTTGCCAGCTGCAAATGCTGAACAAGTCCACGAGTAACCCTAAGCTCCCATGAGCTTGTCTGTAAAATGAGGATAAAAATACCACCCTCACAGTTATTGTTGGAAATAAATGTGACAGTTTGTGTGGCAGTCTCTAATACTATGCCTGGCATGAAGGAAATGCTTACAGAATGAATAAGCAGATGCACTAGAATCTCCACCCACTGGAAAGCTGAAAATCCAAGCCAAGCTTTGCACATCACCAGGATGAAAAGAATGGCAGGACCCTGCAGGCCTCCCCATCCATCCAGATGCAGAACCCATCACACTACATCAGTTTCACCAGGTATCTCTACTGCTGTGAGTTCCTTCACACTAAGGCATATTTTTTTTGTCTTTATTTACTTGTTTATTCATTTAGTGGCACTGAAGATTGAACCTAGCACCTTCACCCTGAGCTACATCCCCGGACCTTTTTCATTTTTTATTCTGAGACATGGTCTTGCTAATTTGCTAAGTTTGAATTTTTGATCCTCTTGCCTCATCTTCCCAGAGTGCTGGGATTACAGGCATGGATTACCATATTCAGAGCCAAGGTTTCTGTGCCCAGGTCAAAATAGAAGATAGTACTGGGGAGGAGAAACCCAAGACCCCAGTGTAAAATCAGGACCCTTTAAAGGGCTTCAATTTCAGAGAAAGAATAATGTAGAAAGTGTTTATTGATAAAAATAAACAAACAAACAAATAAACAAATAAAAAGATGTCTGCTCAGCCAGGCCTAGGATGAAAACAAAAACATGCACTTTAAAATCTTGTGACATCAAGTTATAGGTCTAGAGTTTAAATAGACACCAGAAACCACCAGGCTACTAAATTCATATCAACAGTGTTGTGGGCATGATATCTTAGGTATACACCCTCACCCAAGCATGCACAGATGTCAAAGATGAGCTTACAATCCAAGATAACAAGACACAGGAGGAAATAATACTCCTCCAGCAAGAGTCAGCTGATACCACAAGACACCAAGAAACACGTTGGGTGAACCAATGGATGATGAAGGTTTTAGGCAATTTTTTTTCTTCTAAAGAAAAACAAGAGCTTTTGTCACTCAGAGAAGGTCAGATTAATATGACCTCTTATAGGAAGAAGGAAATGAAGGAACCGATGGGAACCATCCCTGAAATGAGATGATGTTTCAGCACACCTGAAGTCTAGCTGACCTGCCAACGTCCTGGTCCTAGAACCTCAGGCAAGTTCCTTCCACCAATCAAAAAGTCAGCTAAACTCCAGCTTTGAGGAGAAAGGTGAGAACCTCAACTGTTCAACCTGGGATTAATGGCAAGGGGCTTTATAACCTTGGGAGAAAGAGAAGCTCAACGTGGCTTAGTGGGAAGCCCTCTGGGCATTGTGTCTGGGAGGTGCAACTGGATTTCCAAGGGAAAGCTGATCCAACCACCCTTGAGTCACTAGGTGCCCTCTGACCTGTAAGCATACATTCCATTTACAGTCCACAGCCCTGGTGCCACACCCTTGGGCCTCCAAGAGCACAGTGACTAACTAGTAGGTTCAATCAGATGCACTGAGCACTATAGTCACTCTGAGACTGCAAGGAAAAGGTGTCACCCAAATCTTATGGCCTATCATCTCACTATCATACCTTCCTCCCTGGAGTGCAGAGGTGGGAGGCTCTGGGTGCTAGGGTGGTGGTTTGTGGTGGCAGAGTTGTAGTTGTCCTACAACTACATTGTGGCTATTTCACCACCCCTCTGTGCCATTCACACATCTGCCTTCATGGATCTCTGACCCCAGGCACACAACACCTGGTCTTACATGTTCTTTGCCTCCTTCCAGGGAAATGGGGGGTTGTCCCTTTCTGGAGGAAGCAGCAATGTGTTTCACAGGAAAAACGGCACTTCTGGGACTGAGAAGGGGGGTGTATTTCTGCCTTCCACCTCCCCTCCCAAAAAAGACTTGGCCAAGAGCAGCAGCTTGCAAGAACTCTCCAGCCTGAAGGGACTTAGTTCTTTAAACAGAAGCCCTCTTGGAGTGGCCTCCTTACTTTGGAGACAGAAGCCAGAACTCTGACAGCAAGGCAAGAAAACTCCCCAGGAAAATACTGCCTGTTTGCAAGAGTCCAGCCTGCAGGGACTGCAGGAGGTGGAGGAGGGAGGACAGTGGGGGAGTGGGAAGAAAATGACTCACTGCTCTGAGAACAGCCTTTTCTAGCCCTCTCTCCAGGCAGCTGTCTATGGGACACTGGGGCTGGGCAGCTTCTGAGCTCAGGCACAAAAACCAAGGTACCTGAGTTCCCAGGCCGAATGTAGCACAGTGCGTGCCCACAAAGCCTTCTATAGTCCAGGCCTCACTGGATGGTTTGGAGGAACTCCTGAAGTGCTTTGTTCTCTTGATTCCCCACATGACCCCATGAGCTCAGCAAGGCCTCAACACATTGAAGCGATCCCTCCTATTTTCCCAGCAGCATTCCTTGCTAGTCTATGAACAAAAAGAACCACAAATACAGCAGAAATCAGACAACACAGGCAGCCACTACCTAGATGCAGATGTACTCTGTATCATCTGAAGAACTATGCACCTAACCAACCTGCTCCAAAAGTGACTAGTCTGTTAGCAGCAACCAGTTCTGAACAGTGGGTTCCTTCCACCAGGTTCTCATCAACGAATGGATTTTAGGTTTTAAAATATGAAGTCAGGGGCCAGGGATTTAGCTCAGCGGTTCCAGCTCCTGCTGCGCAAGCACAAGGTCCCAAGTTCGATCCCCAGTACCAAAATACAAAAAACAACAACAAACTATGAAGTCAGACACCCCAAGGAAATCAGACAAGAAACCAAATGTCCACCCACCCTGCACTCTCCAGTGGAAGAGTTTTACTGTTATTTTTCCCTCTACTTTCTTGAACAATGAGTGGTATATTGAAAACAGATTAAAAGATACAGGTTGACATTCTTAGAAAATCACCCCATAGTCCTGTTACTGCCCCTGAATCTATGCTGAGAAAAACATCCAAATCAAACACCCAAATGAAGCTGGTATTTTTGGTGGGTGGGATTTGGGGTACATTTTTGCTTTGGGGGGCGGGTACCGGGGATCAAACTCGGGTCCTTGTGCTTGCGCAGCAGGCAGCGAAAGCACTGAGCTAAATCCCGGGCCCTTGCTTTCTTTTTTGAACTTTCCTGTATTCAAAAAAAATAATAATCTATGATGTTTATGGAAAACATCAATTAATTATGAACAAGCTGTTGAAAGTTGGAGAAAGAAGACACACTTGTAACTATTTATCATCCTCACAAGAGCATTTAGTATACTCAAGTTATTATACTGGGGTACAGCAATCAGCATGGTGCCTGCTAGCTAGTAGCTCAGGGGCCAGTGTGGGAGAAACAGACACAGAGAATAAACACAGAAATCAGAGAGATGCCAGTAATAGAGGCAGTACAGAAAATGCAACTCTTAGGTGGAGACTGGATGGCAGGAAGAAGCTGGCCATACTACATCTGTGCCTGGAGAACCTGAGCAGAGGAACCTCCACTGCAAAGCCGAGGTGGCAGGAATGGCCAGGACAGCAGGAGGAGCAGGGGTGAAAACACCACAGCTGTGTCCACTCAGCTGAGACCACCAAGGCTGGCAGGACCCAGGACACATGAGCGAGGAAGAAAAAATAATTTCACTGAAGCTGTGAAGGAAGCTTTTAAGCAGGAAAATGCATGATTTGACTTATGTTTTAAACAGACTCATCTGGCCAAACAGACAGTGGATGTGATGGGAGAGCCCAGGGTGGAAACAGCCTCCTTCTGAAGGAAGATAATCAGTGGTCCAGGCAAGAGATGAGGGGGGCTTAGGCTTCATATCTTGTGAGACTACTGACATCTAGGGCCAGATGACTGTCGTGGAGCACAATGAAGGACATCAGTAGCACCCCTTGCCTCCACTCAGGGAATGCAACTAGCATATGCCAGATGTCCCCTGAGGGGCAAACTCTCCCCACCACCCCAGGGTACTGGAGCAAGTAGAAAGCAATGGACAGCATCCCAGAACATTCTGAAGGTAGAGCTGGCAGGATCCGCTGAAAAACTCACTTTGCTGGAGAGTGAAAGAAAGAGAACTGTGAAAAATTTGCCGCATAACAGAAAAACCATGATGTAAAAAAAATCCGCTGTTTTAAAAAATCTCATTTACAAACTACCTCTCTCTGGTTCATCACTTTCCTCCTAAACAGATGATGTGGGCAGAGGAGGTGAGACAAGGAATAATGGTGACACTAGGAGTTGGGGGTCACTGGAGCTCTCTCTTGGCAAGGTTCCCTGGTCCCCATGTCCTACAGAACAAGCTGGTAAGGAAATGGCTCTCACCAAAACAAGGCTGTCAGCAGCTTTTCTGAGAAAAGCCCTACATGCTCCCCACCTAATTTTCATCAAGGTTTTCAATCCTTAAGGGACTGAAAGAAGCAAACAGAGCAGCTGAGCATGTCACACGCTGGAAGGGGTGTTAGTAACTTGGCTCTGGCCTCCAAATCTGGTCTCCATGTGTCACAGCTTGGGTGGAATGTCTAGGAGTGAGGTTGACAGGGTAAAAGTGATTCAGAGATGAGGCAGTGCTTCTCATAAACATCAGCTCAGTGCCCTTTGGTATCCAAAGGCCTTTGTGCCTCAAACAGCCCACATCTCAAGGTGGCCATGAATTCATCAGGGGGTTGGGAGACTCCTGTGCTCTGTTCAAGGCAGAAGCACCCCTCAAGCAGTGTAGTCCTGTCTCCCCCAGGAGGATAACAAGGTACCCAGCTTGAGAGGAAAAGAAATTTTAGTTCCCAAATTTAAAATTCCTAAAGTATTGCTTAGAAAAACTGTTCTGTAATGAAATGATATTAGGCATGAAACCAATACACAAAAAGACATGTTGACTCCTGCTTTGAAAATAAGAATTCCATGTTCAGCTCTGGAAACAAGAGTTCCTTGTGATGAGAGCTTGTCACTGTCATAAAGGCAGAAAAAGAAGGTACAGGATCTGCAGGAGGCAGGAAGGAAAATCTCAGAAGTCATAGGGTCACTGAATTTTCCAAGCCCCAGGCCTGAACTTCTCATTGGACCAGGTTAGACGGAAGAGGCTCCAGGTGAGGGTGGGGTTAATTAAACACTTCCTACTATGACAGGCAGAGTCTTGTTACAGCAAAACCCGGAGGACTGTCCATATTCCTTTGTATGAAGGAATTGTGCTATATCAGTAGTCACTTGAAATATGAATCCTACTGCAGAAAGGCAAGGTAGATAAATCTTCTGGTCCTGCAGGCAAGTGTGGGACTGGCACTGACGCTCACAGGATTTGGCGTGTGAACAGGGTAATGCTGGCCTTGTCTAGGGAAGGCCAAAGCAGGAAAACAGAAAGTGTGTTGAACTTGGAGCTGGACCTCCAAGTCCAGGCCATCCTTGCCACTTCAAAAGCATATGGCTGTGGCCACACTGCAAAATCTGAGCTTGGGACTCTTCAATCTAATAATACAGGTAATGGCGTGAACATGATATTTACCCTCTGATAGCATGTATACACAGGCAAGTAAAACAATACAGCCTTAAGTAGATACATGGTATGCTTATTGCAATATCAGGTTAGCAAGTGTTTATTTTGAACACAGTGACTCTTTCCAGCTATAAAATAGCACCATAACACTTGGCCTCTCACTGCAATACCACAAGGAAGCAAATAGAGTTTCAGTCCTGAGAAATGGGCTCTTTCTCTTCCCTATAAAGGTTTTGCAGGCCTTTTATCAGCAATCTAAGAGGTAAGGCTGCCTCGTGCCTGGCTCTCACTGTCCTGCAGTCCTGGGGACCACTCACCGTCACCACCACATAGAAGCACCATATCACTGAGCTGAGATGAAAGACGACCAGCTGCCCGGATTCATTGAACTTGTTGTGTTTGACCTTGGAGAGATGAAGTCGTTTGCTGATTTTCTAATGAATAAAGAAAACCCAACACATTAATATACGAGTATATCCATATTGGCCAGATGTCCAAGTCCTGTTTCCTCCCCACAAAGTGGGTGAACACTGTTAAAAGCTTGAAACTGTCTATAACCCAAGTCATTTATTGTAAGCCTGGTTTAAGGCAAACATTTTGAAATAGAGGCAAGATTAACATCTTTAGCTTACACATGAAGAAAACATCCCCCAAGTATGCTATGTATGACAGATCCCTAAGGACACTGTCTTGTCATCCTTCAGACAATGTAATAAATACTACTGTTCCTGTGCTGATTAAAGAAGGCTGTAGAAGGGGGCAGAGACCAAAATGTGCTGAGGGAAGCTCAGTCAATAGGACCCGCCAGAGGGTGGCACCATCTAGACATGTCACTTACATCTAAAATGTACTCCTGAACCACAGCGTGCAAGATGATGGTGATGAAGATGTAGAACAAGATTGTGACCAGGTCTTTCAGGCCGTAGTGGTAGTACACCATCTCACTGTCTGTGGGGTGAGAAGATCCCGTCAGACCCCAAAGTGAAGAGATGAGAAGTAGAATGTGCCATCAAATACCACCCACTTGCTGTAGCCCTAAACTTCAAAGAAAGTTTCTTCCCAAACATCCTACCCAAACTCTGGACTTGGCCTTCGGGAAGCACCAATGGGGAGGACGAAGTGTCTCATGGTATTATGACCATATGTCTCCTGGGTCTGGGCACAAGAGCTCAGAAGTTAGGAGCCAAGGAGCGGAGGCAATCAACACTCCCACTGGGTCCATGACTCCTTGGATGTGTGACTGTGGAAAGCAATAAAGCCACTGAGTCTCAATCTCCTGCCCAGTAAAACAGGACTACAGCCACACTTCACTGATGAAGCACAGTATGGGGGTTCAAAGTGTGGAATCAGAAGCTGAAGTGCCTGAGTTTGTATTACAATTCTGTCCTTTACATTCTATGTGACCTTGAAGTTCCTCTATAGATAACTTTTCTGTGCCTCAGTTTCCTCACTTGCAAAGTGAGAACAGATCCTGTATTATAGGGTTATTCTGAGAAATAAATAAATTAATAAGTGTAAGGTATTTAGAACAGTGTCTGCCACATGGTAAGTGCCATGTATGTATCTGCTGTTATTTTTCCTGTTGGAATAGTATAAGGATTATATGAGATAATTTGTAGTGTGGATGTTTATCACAGTACCTTTAACTTACAAGAAGCTTACAACAAATGGGGGCTTATCATCTATATGACAGTGATATATTAGAATCCCAGGGACTGAAGTCTCATAATACCCTGCCACTGTGGCCTCATTTGCAGAGGACAGATGAGAATTCAGCCCTGGCCCCAGCAGCCAGCTGCAGGCCAACAGTAGATGGGAGAAAGGCCGCCTGGGCTTCACAGTGCTGTGACCACGTCCTCTTATGCCTGGCCAGCTGTGCTGCTTCACCCTGAGTCACACGCATATGAGTCATCCCTTTGCCGGGATGCGTTTACCAGAAGGTAGGTCAGGTCATTTTGTCTCTGGGTGGCCAGAGAACAAAGTAAAGCCAAACTGAATTTCTCTGGGAGTCACCTCTAACCCCAGCCACCCTGGACAGGGAGAACGGGACAGTCAGCAGAGTAAACAGCAGAGAACATGAACTCTAAAATCTGACAGACTTTCCTTTTCCCTCTCCCTGTTCCTTTCCACTGAGACCTACTTTGGGAGAGACCCTGGGCTTACACAGCTGAAACAGGAAGATAAAAGTTGCTGCCCTTAGTGGCCAAGTTCAGCAGAGGGGTGGACAAATGGACAATCACCCTACAGACAGGCCAGACTGTCAAGAGGCAAACACAGTGGGCGGCACAGTCGGGGCTCAGCTCTAGCTGCGGTGAGCATACGGGTGGGCATTGGTCAGCATGAATAGGATGTCACAGAAGCCAGGGGATGGGCAGGTAGTAATGGAGGCATCCTAAGCTCAGGAAGCAGCGTCTGTGGGGGTGCTGGGGTAGTGCGGAGAGAGGCAGGGGGTGCAGTGAGGCTGACATGAACAGCCCATATAGCATGGAAAGGGTGTGGCCTTTACCCTGAAGACAACAAAGAAACACCCAAAATTCAAATTAAACAGGAAAATGAAACTTGTGCTTGGTAAGGTTTACTTGCCAGCTGTGAGCAGACAGCAGCAATGCCTGGAGGTCAGGCCACCCGAGAGGAAGCTGCTCAGTGATCCAGGAAAGGAGCAACAGGGCCTGAATCATGTCAGGAGACAGAGGAGGGCAGAGGAAGGCAGTCCACGGGATAAAACGGAGGTGACATGACAGCTGACCTACCTGACAGGGTCAGACACTGGAGGTGAGGGAGAAGAGACGCCTGTGACTCAGACTCTTGCCTCTGCCCACCATTTACACCATTACATTTTCCATGCCTTCTTAAGGGAGGCTCAAAGGACACTAACTAGATGGTAGTGTGAGTGTGTGTGCATGTGTTTTACTGGGGACTGAACCCAGGACCTTCACACTGAGCTACATCCCTATCCCTTTTTCCCTTTGTGGTTTTCTTGTTTTTGTTTCTGTTTTTTGAGACAGTGTCTCACTAAGTCACTAAGTTGCCCGGGCTTGGCTTGAACTTGTGATTCTCCTGCCTCAGCCTCCCATTACCTTGGGCTATGGGAACAGCACAGTTTGGAACTATACTACACTTGATCTTAGCCAAAAGGCCGAGAAGTGATTGGAACTATAAAATAACCAAACACATGCGAAGATTCATCATTAAGCCATCATCATTATTATTAGGTAAAATTGGATTTATATTCAACAAAACAAGCACTGTCTGAAATTGGGAAATAATGCCCATCACAGGCTTTGAGTTATTTGTTCTAATGCCTTTTGAGGGCTACCTGCCTTTCTTTATTCCAGATACTATGGTTCCAAAGTAAATCTTTCTTGAAACAAGAGTGAATGTATGGGGGCTGAGGATACAGCTCAGGGGTAGAACATTTGCCTTGCATTCTCAAGGCCCTAGGTTCAATCCCTAGGCCCTCCCCCAAGTAAAATAAAATAAAACAAAATTAAATTGAATTAAAACACACACACACACACACACACACACACACACAAATATTGTATGAACAGGCCCATGCTGTATTTCCCTGTGAGAGCTGCATCCATGTGTACTCATCAGCCACACAGGGGCACACACAGGGCCCTGGGCTGGGAGTGGAGATGGCATTGAGCAGTGGGCACAGCTCCTGCCTTCTCAGAGCTCAGCAGCACACATCAAATTCTCACGTACTTCAAAACCAGTGGCCAAGAAACTTCAAATCGAAGCAAAAACAAACCAACTTGATTAAAACATGGGCAAGGGACTCATTTTTCTAAGGCAGACATACCAATGGCCAATAAGGACATGAAAGGATGCTCAGTATCACAAGTCACTGGCACATCAGAACTACCTTACATGCACTAGGATGGTTACAATTTTTTTAAATAGACAATAGCAAGTATTGGTGAGGATGTGGAGACACTACAAGCCTTGTGGCCTGAAGGGAATGAAAACTAGTGTATCCATGACAGAAAACAGTATGGTGGTTTCAAAAAACAAAAAATTAAAACCAGAATTACAATGTGATCCAGCTATTCAACTTTTGAGTATAAAAGTGAAAGAACTGAATGATATATTTATACATCCATATGTTCAACATTCTCAACAGCAAAACATTAGAAGCAACTCAAGTGTCCATCAATGGGTGAACAGATAAGGCAAAATCTGGTCCATATACATATCAAATATTATACGGCCTGAAAAGGAAAGGCAACTCTGACACCTATTGCAACATGGGATGGATCCCACTGCAGGATCCCACTGATAAGAGGTCCCCAGAGGAATCAAATTCATAGAAATAGAAAGTAGAATGGGTGTTGCCTGGGGTCAGGGGTAAAGAAGAAATAGCTGCTGTTCAGTGGGATACAGAGTTTCAGTTCTTCTAGATGCAATTAGCTGTGCAGATTGGTGCAACCACTGTGGAAATCAGTATGGAGATACCTCAAAGAACTAGGCTTAGAGGTCCCATTTGACCCAGCTGTTCCCCTGCTGGGTATCTTCCCAAAAGAATTAAAAGAATCATACCACAGCGATATATGTGCGCCCATGTGTATAATGGCACACTTCGTAATAGCGAAAGCTTGGAAACAGCCCAAGTGCCCATCAACTGGAGACTGGATCAAGAAAATGTGTTTTTTTAATAAAATGGAGTACTACTCAGCCATAAAGAATGACAAACTAGAGACATTTATAGCTAAATGGATGCATATTGAGGCCATCTTCTTAAGTGAAATAAATAGGACACACATGTGTAAATACCAAATAGTTTCTCTAGTGTGAGAAACTGAAAGTGTAAATAAGGACACACATGGATGAAATGGCCTAATAACATATTTGTCAGATTGTGTTTCCACCGTGTGTCATATGACTATATCAAAATTTAAATTAGGGAGAAGTTTGGCTTATGTGGAGTCTGCTACCTAACCGGAGTTTTTTTCCAGGTCATTATTTGTTCATTGTTGGTTTTGGGAATCTTTCTGAAACAAATCACATCCTCTGGTGTCTTGTTGGTGCTTAAGATGCTTTTTTAAGTTATATGGAAAAATGCTTAAGTGCTTTTCAGTTTTGTTTTGGTTGAGTTCTACAGTACTTGAATATTATTGTAGTTTTTATCCCCTTGCATTGTTCTTCTTTGAATGGTCTTAATTTTTTCTATATGTGTGTGTGATAATAAAGTTATTTAAAAAAACATGGTTAAGATGGTAAATTTTATGTTACATGTATATTACCATAATTTAAAAAACACAGTCGAAAAACCAGCAGGCAGGTGTGATAAGCGATCTGTGCCAAGGCTGGGGTCGGTAGGGCCTGCAGGAGTGGGACATTCAGAAAGTCTCCTCAAAGATCACAGGAGATCAGGGAGTGAGGACACCCCTACACCTCTTGGAAAAAGGGGGCAGTGGACAGGAGAGACAGGTTCATCAGATGGATCTGGGTGATGGAATCAAAAGAATCGGCAGATGGACCAGGTGCGGGTCATGATTCTCAAGTCCCTGCTGGGATTTTAGCTGTATTCTGCAGCCCTCCTTTTTTACTTCAGAATTCTTCAACAAGTATTATCTCATTTGATCTTTGAAATCATCTCATGTGATGGGCAAAGGAAGTGGAAAAAGAGACAGAGTTCAGAGACAAAAGGACATGGCCCATTTCTCAGGTCTCCCAGTTTCTGGCCCCAGTTTGGCCTCTACCCCTCCCCAGTCCCTCACAACTTCATACTCAGATTCGGAAAACTGTCCTCTGATTCACACAAATTATCTTAATTGCTTTCACTCTTATCTGCTATCTTCCTTTTTTTTGTTGTTTTAATCAGAATAGGAAAATAAATTCTGCTTTCTAGACAGCTGGAGTGATTGGAACTTTGTTTAAACAAACTGACAACTGGTGATTTTAATTTTTAAAAATGGAGGGTTTTTTTTTTCACTAATTCT